TTTTGTGAGGTGGAGGACTTTGTGGACTGGTGTTGGGTATGGGTTAATGTTGGACTTGTGGGCTTGGGCAGCATTGGGTTGGGATGTTTTCGTGATGCACCTTTTCTTTATATAAAACTCTCTCTTATACGTGAGTCGCCGTGGATTTGTTTCTCCAAAGTACCTAGATTAATACATCCCTTATCTCACACTTTAAGGGCTGAGGTATAGGCAATCGGGTGAGGGACAGACCAAACCCAAGGGTGTACATGTCATCCCAATGCAAAGGAAGGGAAAGGGATTGGGAGTACGGGGGAGGAAAGGGGGGAAAAAGAGGGAGATAATGGCACTGGGGGAGTAGGGCACTAATCCACTGGGGAGGGGGTATTGTTTATATCTCCACAGAAATGGGAGTGTGAGTTCAGATCCCACCACAGTGCACCAAATTTTGAGGGCAACGTAAGCACATAATGCAACTCATGAGCAGAGAGGTCTACAAGGCCAGCCACAATTAACCTAACTGACCCCCCACCCCTACCCTAGAAGTATGTGCTTCAGAGGACACTACATCTACAGGTTGGGGGAGGGGGTGGTCTGCCACACCCATACAGAAGCAAACCAAGAAGGAAAAAGAGAGAGTGAGGGACTAGACCCCATAGTGGCACACTAAGCTCTGAGGATGACACCCCTGCACGGAGCTGCTAAGGCATAGAGAGGACTGTAGGGCCAACAACAGCTCTAGACATGATGTCCCCTCCCCAGAGCATACCTCAACTGAGGACAATATTGGAGACACAGGATGGGGAGTGAGTCTGGTCTGACCTCCCACATGGGTTGAACCAAGAAGGGAACACAACAAATGAGCAACGGGAGCAAAGCAAAGCTACAAAGTCCCCAAGTTGCTCCAAAAATAGACTTCAGGCTGGGAGGGCAGTACCTGGAACCCCCCAGGACCGGTGCAGAGATAGTCATAAAGCTCAGCGGACAGATCTGGAATTATGTTTACTTTTTCATTTTTCCCCTCTTTTTCTTTGATCTTTTTGTTTTGTCTCCATTATTGTTTTGCCTACCTATATAAGATATGTATGAGAAGCAAGTCTGAGGAGAAAGCAACAGGACCGATGGTTCCGAAGGAACTTGGGGGAGGCGAAGGCGGGGGAAGGGAGTGGTGAACAAACAATGCCATAGACAGGGGAACAACTAGGGAATTAAAATCAACAAGGTGGATATAGAGATCCTGGGGGTGTTAGAGCAACAGCAATCTAGCTGAGAGGAATTACTAAGAGGCAGAAGGCCGAGTGTGATAGTGGGGGAGGAGGAAGGTAAAAGGAAACAGAGGAAAGATCTAGGAAGCAAAGCTATAGATAGAAGTATAAACATAGGTGGGAACTTATGTAAATATATTAATAAAAATAGAGGTATTGGCCTATGTACATTTATTTATATGCAATAAATTGAGGAAGTTGACAGACTTTGGGCCTCTGCTCAAGCCCTTTCTCAATGCAAGAACACTTTGTTTTAACAATCTCGCATTCTGTGATGCTCACCCTCCTGCACCATCACTGAAGACAAAATAGGCACATAAGTAAATGTGGTGCAGAAAGCTGATGGTGCCTGGATATCAAAAGATATAACATCTGGGATCTTAAAGGCTTGAAGACAAACAAGCAGGCATCTAGCTGAGAAGGAAGAAAGCCCACATGGAAGAAGCACACCAGCCTGTGTGATCATGAGGTGTTGATGGAATCAGGTATCTGGCATCAAAGCCCCAGAACAAAAAATCATATCAATGTGAATGAGGGGGGAGTTCAGAGTGGAGACCCAAAGCCCATCTGTAGACAATTGGGCATCCCTTTACAGAAGGTTCATAGTGAGGAGATGAGCCAGTCAGGGTGCAGTATAGCAACGATGAAACATACAACTTTCCTCTAGTTCTTTAATACGTCCTCTCCCCCACTATCATGATTCCAATTCTACCTTACAAACCTGGCTAGACCAGAGCAAGTACATGGGTACAGATCAGAGCTGGAAACACAGGGAATCCAGGACAGATAAACGCCTCAGGATCAATAATGAGAGTAGCCATACCAGGAGGGGAAGAGGTAAGAGGGGGGAGAAAGGGGAAACCGATCACAAAGATCTACACATAACCCCTTCCTGGGGACATACAACAGAAAAGTGGGTGAAGGGAGACATCGGTCAGTGTAAGACATGAAAAAATGATAAATTATCAAGGGATCATGAGGGAGGAAGGGTGGGGAAGGGAGGGGGAAAATGAGGAGCTGATACCAAGGGCTGAAGTAGAAAGAAATGTTTTGAAAATGATGACGGTAACAAATGTACAAATGTGCCTGACACAATGAATGTATTATGTGTTGTGATAAGAGTTGTATGAGCCCCCAATAAAATGATTTTTTTAAAGCACATTTTTATTTGCACTCAGGGTAAATGAACAACCAATAGAAGACCCATACTTCATATTAATTAACATATTCTAATCAAACTCCCTGCTGTCCAGTTGATTCTGACTCATTGCAACTCTCTATGGCAGAGTGGAACTGCTCCGGATTTTCCAGGGTTGTTATCTTACCAGGAGCAGACAGCATCATCTGACTACTGCAAACAATACGTTAGAATAGATGTCCAGAAGAACGCTATACATATAAAGTGAGGATTCAGAGGACACCTCAGTGGTTCATAAGTGACTTGTTTATAAATGACTCTACTACAGGATAATTACTAATTCTCCTTGCTATTAAGGTAGCAATCTTAAGATAGTCAATCTTTACTACCCTTATACTTAAACATCCACACCAAAATATTTCATTTCAAGACGCATTTTATCATTTTGTCATGAGAAATGTAAATTACCTTAACTTCTATTATGAGTTTCATTTTGTCTGTATCCAATTTTCTCTTAAGCTGGTCAATCGCATGCTGTACTTCAGTGATCTGGATTATAAGGTAATTCTGTTTGAGGTGCAAAGACACATATTTATTAGGTGTAACAATTATGCATTCTTAATTTTAACAGTCTTGGAAAATGTAATGCAGAAAATGATAATGAATATCAAAAAAAGAAATCATGAAAATAAATTTCTATTAATTTCTTGCATTTTATGGACTTCTTTTCCTTTATTTTACTCCCATTCTGCATTTACTCTAAGAATAAATAGGCATCTGTAGAACTTACTTAGTTATCAGCATAAAGACCAACATTATTTTGACAAAAGCAACAATTATTACTACAAAAAGAATATGTTTGGTCTAATATATTAATAAGACTTTAGAAATTGGTATAATGCTCAGTAACTGAGTCAGACTAGTATAATCTTAAAACATTTGATCACAAAATAACATTTACTTAAGAAGCATAATATAAAAATAGCCTATTTTAAAAATAGAAGAAATATTCCTAGCTACTTTTGTCTAGAAAAGTTTACAAAAAGTAATGGTTTTCATCAAAACAGTTGTGTGAGAATTTTAAATTGACTTTTGAAAAAATATGATCACATATTCGCCTTAATAAAACAGTAAAATGAGCAAAAAAAGTATAGTTAGTACAAACTGTTAATTTGCTTGCATTTTTACTAACTTTATCTAAGATGATACACTTAATGTTTCACCAGTTTAAAGTTAAATCCTTATTCTTAATCACAGTTAACATTTAAAAATCAGTTTTGGATAAGTGGAGTTACTCTAATATATATTAAACTGTTCAGTGGTCTCTACAATTGTTTTGCCTGTTGTTTAGTTATGTGGTGCAATTACTCAGTATTATAGTAAACTTCTTGTCTCTGATCTGTCAAAGTTCAGGACTAAATCTCAAGAAAACATAAAATGATCACAGTTTTATAAAATTTCCTTTAGATCTTATTGGTGCCATAAAACAAAACAAAACAAAAATTATGCTGAAACGAATTCCTTTATGTGACATGTTTTCTTGATTCTTTGGAAAAAACAGCTCAAGAGATTTCCCCCCTGAACCCTGAGAAGTTACCTTTGCCCGAGTTTTCTACTTCAAAAAGTTTGTCACTTCTATCCAGGTTGATCTACATTTCCTGGGAAACTGTCAACAAATTTGATAGTTTAATACGTTTTGTCCGACCCTGGGCTATAGTCTGCCTTGTAATTGGTCTAGCTTATACAGCTTGCAGAAAATGGTCAATATACTAATGGACATTAAATCTATACTATAATATAATCTGTTTTGCAAATGAAGTCTACTGAGAAGGAATTGGTCAGTTTTGGGTCCTGGTATGGGGGTCATATCTTGAAACTGCTTATTTATTCATCCAAGCCTACAGAGTTAGGCAGAAAGAAAGAGCGGGAAGTAAGAGCAGAAAGGGGAAAAGGATGATTTGGAAAAGGAAAATGAGAATGGGTCTACAACTTGAAGAATGTAATTACTGTCACGGAATGTTACATGTAGAAATTGTTAAGATTGCATATGCTTTGGGATATATATTTTTCTACTTGTGACAAAAAGAGACAAGAGAAAATCAAGAGAGAAGCAGAGGCAGGAAAGAATTGTAACACAGGGGAAGGGCTATAACACTAAAGACAGCCACAGGATCCGAAGGAACCCGGGGGCCGAGCCAATGGTAATGGCAGGAACCTGTTGCTAAGAGTGTAACTAAGAGAGCTGCAAAAACTGCCACACTGGCTCTGAGCTGCGCCAGTTAGCAATGGAGAGGCGGATGGCAGAGAGACTGAAGGCAGAAAGGCCTGCATGAATGACGGGCATGAATAGCCAAAAAGAAAAGGCTGCCCTAAAGAAGCATGTCCTGAGGGAGCTCCAGAGCAGGCCTGCAGGGCTGAGGGTGCGTGCACAGCAGAGGGCCTGCTTGCTTGCACAGTGTGGAGGAGCTGAGAGATGTCCTGCACAGAATAACGAGGGGATAAGTCTTCTAAAGTTTACCGACATGCTTCTTGACCTTGATCCTGATCCTGAGTTATAGCCTGTTCATCCTGTTCCTTTTATGTCCTTACTAAGCCATTTACTCTAAGGATGATCTGAGAGTTCTCTGGGATTACTGAAATGACTTATTAAACTTGGCAGAGGAGTAGAGTACCAAGGGGAGGATGGCTGGTGTCAAATTGGTAGAAAGTTGACAAGTGGGGTTTGCTGAACCTCCACATCATTGGATTCAGCTTTGTGGCTATCTGGATTCTCATCTCTGCCCCTAACATTAGAGACTGCTGATACGACTACTTTATAGTAGTAGCCAAACTAGCCCTCCTGCCCTGTTTCATCAAGTACTTATCTTCTTTGCCCCCTTTGCTGGAGAAAGTGACCTCAATCCCAGATACTAAGATAGAGCGTAGTTCGCATAAAGAAGTCAATATCTAGCATTTGCTGTTAACTCTTATTTATCTTACGAGCCCTGGTGGCATAGTGGTGATGTGTTGGGCTGTTAATCGTAAGGTCAGCAGTTCGAAATATCTGGAGAAAGTTGAGGTTTTCTACTCCAGTGAAGAGTTACAGTCTTAGAAATCCAGGGGCAGTTCTATCCTGTCTTATAGAGACACCACAAGTTGGAATCAACTCAATGGCAATGAGCTTAGCTTTTCTTAATTGGTGTTATTGACCCAGGAAGTACACCTGGTTGATGAGAAATGAGGATAATGAGAAAGTTTTATACATTGCATGTGTTGAGAAGTAGCTCCTCTCTTCTGAACTTAGAGGCTAACAGTTCTAGTTACCACAGGAAAAAACAGCCTTATAATGAAACTCACATTGAAAATAGGAAGGACACATCAAAAAGCACCAAAGGAAATTATAATACGATCATGTATTTTCAAAGAATTTTTTTTTTAATAGAAATGGAGCACATTTAGGAGTACCTTGGAGTCAGTGATATTTGCCAAGTTCTTTGGTCTCATCTTGATCTCTCTGGCTTCAAGTTGCATGAGTAATTTTTTATAGTAAAGTTCCAAATCTTCTCGAAGTTTTGTTAAAACCTCCTCCAATGATAATGTGACTTTCTTTGTTTCTAAGTATTTTTTCTTCCAACTCTCACCAGCTACAGAAAAAGCAAAGTTTGAGTTTTGGTTAAAAGATCAATCTTTTCATCCTTCAGAGGACCTTTAAGTCAATGTCAACTTACACTCATTCCCTCCTCCTCTGGTTTCCCTTATTTAATTCTTTTAATGGGGTCAGAGGAGAAATGTTTGCATGATAACAAAAGAACTTGCCTCAGATTATAGTAAAATAGTGATTAATTCATGAACTTCTTTAATCATGGAATTGTCTGGTTTAAAAACACTGTCTTAAATTGTTTTGAGGTAAATTTGTTATGCACATAATTAAAATTATTAAACAAAAAGGCATTTTCCAACTCTCATACTGCCTTAGATTTTATGAAATAGCTGATTCATATTAATAATTTATCAAAATTATCCAAATCAAATCTCCCAAATTCTATAGTGCAAAGTTTCTCAAACTTTAGACCCTGGGTTGAGAAAATTAGAAAGCAAACATTGTCACTTTAGGTAACCACTTTGACACCAATGATTCTAAATACACACTTAACAGGAGCACAAAGTGCATACAGGTGTGGCAGAATATACTTTTATTTCTTTTAGATGATCACTTATATAAAAATACCAGATTTTAAAAGTCTATGTACAAATATGTGGATGCCTGAGAGTGAATTTATAAACTCATTTGTGAAATACTACTTAAGCTTTTGCATCCTTTTTGTTAGAGACATTGCGTCTGTAAGATGCCTAAAAAGATGCCAAATAGGATTAGATAGACTATGAAAATGTAGGAAAGTTTTGACTTTAATTTTCTCTCAAAATCATTATTATTTAGATTATAAACGTGCTTTTTGTTGTGGTGAAAATAAAAAGGAAACATCATAATTTAACACATCTACATGTATAATTCAGTGGCTTTGATGATACTCTTCAAGTTGGAAAAACATTTTCCTTATCATTTTACAAAGTATTCAACCACCAGTAACACACACTCAGTGCCTCCTAAGCAAAAACTTTTCATTCTCCCTTCCTACTCATGATGACCGCTAAAAAGGTTTGGATTATACATATCCCTTCCATCACTTACTGGTTTCTTGTACTGTGGTGGCTTGCTGCCAGTATTTCAAATACCAACAGAGCCACCAAAGGTAGTCAGGTGTCAATGAAACTTCCAGACTAAGACAGACTGGAAAAAGAACCTGTAATCAACTTCTTAAACAAAATTGACCAGTGAGGCCTGGTTACTAACAGCAGAGCACATCTGATAATGCACTTGCAGACGAGCCCCTCAAGTCGGAAGACAATCAAAATAAGACCGGAGAAGACCGGCCTCCTCCAAATAAGGTCTTAATGACGTGGATGGAGCAAAGCTTTCAGGACCTTTCCTTGCTGATGCTGCACTACTCAAAATGAGAAGAACATTAATAACAAGAATGTGGAATGTACCAAGTACATACCCCAGCATTTCGCATGTTGAGAGAACTGAAGACACAGTTCAAGCCTTGAGTTGCAATATTGAAGGATTCTATGAGCACAATATCGAACATGTAGCAAACATCAAAAGATAAAAAGAATACACAATCACTGAATCAAAAAGAGGACACCTGGTGGTGCTGCCAGGTAAGTGTTGGACTGAAAACGGTAAGGTTGGAGATTCAAAACGACTGGTAAATTCTCAGAAGAAATATGAGACTGTCGGTTCCCACAGAGATGGACTCGGTGGCAGGGGGGTTGGTTTTCTTGATGGTATCAAAAAAAATTGGTTGATATTCAACCATCTCAGCATGTAGCATATGCTCCAGACATTGCGTTACTGAAGGAAGAAAATCAAGCCGCACGGAAGGCACTGGTGAAAACAAGACTGTAGGAACTGACAAAATACCAATCGAGATGTTTTAACAAACAAAAGCAATAGCTGCTAAAGTTTGTGTTTGTTTAAATTAGGTGTAATCTATGTTGAAAGCTGCGCTCTTTCATCTTCATCACTAAATGTTTCAAGTTCTCTTCACGACTACAAGCTGTTAATGAGCATTCCTCAAATTCTTTTATAGCCCAGGTTCTGGTGTTTTTTGTTCAGCATACAGCACGAATAAATTTGGTGAAAGAATACAACACGGAGGCACACCTTTCCTGATTTTAAATCATGCACTCTTCCATTATTCTGTTCCAATGATTGCCTCTTGGTCTATGTACAGGAAAAATATGAACACAATTAAATGTTACCGAATTAACAATCTTCTCAATGTTACTGCTCGTTTGTTATGATACACACAGTTGTGAATTCAACACAATATAGGTATAAATCTTTCTGGTATTCCCCACTTTCAGCCAAGATCTGACTGATGTCAGCAATGATATCTTTGGTTCCATGTTCTCTTCTGGATCCAGCTTGATTTTCTGGCAGTTCTCTGTTGATGTACTGCTGGACCCATTTAAAAATTATCTTCAGCAAAATTTTACTTGCATGTGATGTTAGTAATATTGTTTTTGCATTCTTTTGAATGGACACATTCCAGTCTATTGTCCAGGTAACTGGTTTCTAAATTTCTTAACATTCATGAGTGAGCACTGACAGGAGTGTGTCAATTTGTTGAAATGTTTCCATTTATATTGTCCATTTTTCTTGCCTTGTTTTTAGTCAAAGTCTTCAGTTCAATAGCACTCTGCTTTCAATGTTAGGAGTTCTTGATCATATGCTACCTCCTGAAATGGTTGAATGCAACCAATTCTCGCTGGTATAGTGATTCTTTGTATTCCTTCTATCATCTTTTGATACTTGCCAACAAAATCCTTTAATATTGACGCTTGAATATTTTCTTTACATTTTCTTTTAACTTGAGGAACACTCAGCATGTTCTTCTCTTGTGATTTCCTAACCCCAGGTCTTTGCCTGTTTTATTGTAGTGCTTTACTTTGTCTTCTCAAATTCCCCTTTGAACTTTTGTTTAGATCTTTTACTTCATTATTTCTTCCTTTCACTTTACCTAATTTCTGTTCAAGATCAAGTTTCAGAGTCTCTTCTAATACATATTTTGTTTTTTTCTTTCTTTCCTGCCTTTTCAATGACCTTCTTCTTTCTTATGTACAGTGAGTGTCCTTGACACCATCCCACAACTCATTTGCTCTTTGGTCGTTGGTGTTGGCCCCAAAGGAGTTAACAGAAGCTGAAGGCAGTGGACTGTTTCCATAGACACTAGGGTGGTCTGGGCACCTGGGCTGCAAATGGCTTGAATGCAATTCTGGGAACAGGACCTGACGGAGGGCGCTATGCTCCTCCCCAAGGACACAAACCTTGAGTCCTCTGATAAGGCAGTTTGTTATGAGAATCTAGTGCTTAGTCTGCTCCCTCGTTCCTTGTTAACGTTGAGGAAGTGCATACGTGCTTACTAACCCATGCCCTGGCTAGCAGAGAAAATAAAACACCGAGCAGGGCGGACATCGGCATGACACCCAGCACAGAGGTGTCAGCCCTTCGCTAGTGTTAAAACCACATTTCCCTGTCTGTGTCTTCATTTCTGGCCCACATCATCATCGAACGCTACACATTGGTGTTTACTGGATAAAAAACACGGAATGTTTTCTAAATTCAGGTAGGACGTACACAAGGATGTACTTTGGCTCTTAAGGACTTGTTTTAATTTTCTTCAGCTTCAATTTGAACTTGCCTATGAGCAAAAAGATTTCTATTCTGGTCAGATGTTTGCTTTGTTCTGACTGATGATGAAGGGGTTTTTCTATTTTTCCTTTCATAGATGTAGTCAATAAACTATTCCACCACGAGAGGTCCATGTTTATAAGTGCTACTTCTGTTGTGGAAAAAAAAAAAGGCTTCTTGCGATGAATAAACCAGTTATTGGTCTTGCCAAGGTCTATCCTGTGATCTCCAACATCATTTCTATAATCAAAGCCACATTTTCCAACTGTGGATCCTATTTGCTTGTTTCCAACATTTGCATTCTAACTACCAGTGATGATCAATTCTCCTCTACATATTTGTTCAATATTCAAATGGTAGAAGGCAGAGGTTTGTAGCCATTGGTCTCACGGTGGGCAGTGCGGCATCAGCAAATGAAAGTTCTGAAAGCTCTGCTCCATCCAAGCCATGGGCGTTGACTCTGTGTGGAGGAGGCAGGCCTTCGTCAGTCATATTTTGAGTGCCTTCCAACCCGAGGGGCTCGTCTTCTGGCACACGATCAGACAGGGTTATGCTGCTACTCACAAAGTCTTCCCAGGCCTGTTTGTTTGTTTGTTTGTTTGTTTGTTTGTTTTCAAGAAGTAGATCATCAGATCCTTTTTCCAGTCAAAGGCCCATGGTGGAGCAGTGCGTTCTGCATTGGGCTGTAACCACAAGACTGGGGTTCATGTCCACCAGCTACTCTGTGGGCGGATGAAGATGCTTATCCCCACGATAAATTCCAGTCTTAGAAACCTCGAGGAACAGTTCGACTCTGGCCTAGAGAATTGCTGAGCCAGAACCAACACAATGACAGTGGGTTTGGGTTTGTTTTTGATTTCCAGTTTGTCTTAGTCTGGAAGCTCTGCTGAAAGATGTTACATCATTGGCTACTCAGTTCATGTTTGAAATATCAGTGGCATTGCTTTCAGCATCATGGCAACAAGGAAGCCGCCACAGTTAGAAAAACTGACAGAAGAGCTGTCTGACATACAAGGCAAGGAAACCCAAAAAGAGTTAATTCCATATGCAAGGAGGCTTCTCAAAGTTCGTGGAAAAAGAATGAATAGACAACTAAATTTTTATGTGAACTTTTTGACTTCCCTTCACACACACGCACACTTTTTTTTCTTTTTAATTTTCAAGCACGATCGAAAATGGCACTCTCTCAAATCAAATATCTCTCAAGACAGTGTGGTTTACTTTCTCCCTGCTAGCGGTGACAGAGAGAGAAAGCTGTCTCTTAGAGCCAGCTTTGGATGTCTAGCCTTCTAAAAATAGTCAGAAAATAAATTTCCGTTTGTTAAAGCCAGCTACTTACAGCATTTTTATTATAGTAGCACTAGATAAGACAAATTCTATAAAACTTGTTAACTTTTATTGTGATAAAAGATACATAATAAACTTTACCATTATGTTGCTTCAATTTGCTTTGTTCAGGTAGCTTTTCAACTCTTTTTATTAGTTGTTCTCTAATTTTTTCCAGATATCTTCTTTCTTCCCTAACTTGTCTTAGTTGCTCAAGAATATTCTCCCCTAAAGAGATTGTAACCCATATTCATTAATATCACAAACTGACAGATGGTTAGTCTCCAAAAACATGAATTATAAAATTTAAATTCAAAAGGCGTGTAACAGGATTTCTTGAAGTGGGAACACATTTTTCATTATAAAAATATTAAGGAGTTATTTCTGTTTCTAAGAGGGTATCAAGAATTCAATTGTGTTCCACCAAATGAGTGTCCATTAGGCAGGGCCACGCTTCTCCATGACCCGGAAATTATATAATGATGTAATTTGACAGGTACGTAGTGTTGTAATCATCACCAATGATGTGACCTGATGTGAAAAGGCAATTTGCTGTAAGGGAAAAAGAGTCGATGTAATGCGCTAACTCCGTTCACAGCCCTCATCTGATGTAAGGGCGCTCCTCTGGAGTGTGGCCTAAATTACATTTAATTTTGCAAGGGTTAAAAGGAGAGACAAACAAGTAGCGAAGGTAGGACCTGAGTACTATAAACGAAGAACCAGGAGCAGAGGGTACTATGAAAGAAGAACCAGAACCAGGATATGGATGCAGGGTCCCTGTGCTGAGAACCTGCTAGAGCTTCCTGAAGAAGATCAATGCCAAGACACAAGCAATATCAAGTCCACAGATGTTCAGAGGAGACAATGACCTTCAACAGAGCTAACAGAACAACATCATCTTTTCCCAGAGCTTGGATCCTGGAGATAGACTTATAATCTGCCAAATTGTGAGAGAATAAATTTTCTGGTCACTTAAGCCACCCATTTGTAGTGCTTCTGTTACAGCAGTACTAGGTAACTGAGACAGAATTTAATAAAGAGATTAGGTTGCTGCTCTAAAAGAAAACTAAAATGTAGAAGCAGTAAGGAAATTGGCTAATAAGAATACATTGAAAAAAGTTTATTTATTTTATTTTTATTGTGAATTGCATTAAATTTGGTAGAACGAATCAGTTTTCCGTTCAGCAATTCATATACATTTTATGTCGTGTCATTGATTGCAATCCTCAGAAACTGATATCACCTACTCCACTTCTTCCCTGTGTTTCTTTGGGTAAATGCTACTCTTTTGATTTCAAATACCCACTTCTAAGTATGTTATAATCTTAGTTCTATTATAACTACCTAATGTTATTTTTCCCTTTATAGACTTGTCTATTTTTTGGCTGAAAATTGATCTATAGGGATTAGTCCAATCCCAGCCCTGAGGTTGACTAAGGACCATAGTCTTTGAGGTCCCACCAATAAGCTTAGGTTGTATTTATTTATTTATTTAAAATATGTTTTCTTTTTTATTTTTTTAATTAAAATATCCGTTTCTTGGGGGCTCTTAAAGGTCTTATAACAATCCATACATCATTTGTTTCAAGCATATATGTACATATGTTGTCATCATTATTTTCCAGACATTTGTTTTCTATTAAGCCCTGGGTTATTTTTGTTATGACTTAGATTTTTGTTCCAAATTTTCTTCCCACTCTATCCAGAACCTTATAATGTGATTCTTTTCAGAAGTTGGTAATCAGGAGTTGGTAATGAGCGGGACACCACCTAGGTCTTTGGTCTCTGGGTCACGTAAATCGGTGTTCGTGTGGTCCACAAGTCCATTGGACTGATTGAGGCTGGAGGAATTTGAATATACCTAATAGTAACAAGCCTGCATTGCCTTGAAAAGATGCTGGTTGAACTATGGACTTCAAAGGCATTTTGGATGAGGGCCCAGAGGAAGGAAGGGGAGTTGTAACACTGGAGATGGTGGAGACAATTGGAAATTCATGAGGGAGAGTGATAGAACTGAGTGCTTGTGCTGAGGCTCACTGGCAGAGTGAGGTACCTCTGGGCACTTATCACCAGAGGCAGGGAGCTTTACTCAAGCAGGGCAGAGGCTAACTCGCCCAAGAGGCCCAATGGCTGAGGGGCTGAAGAACAGGCAGCAGAAGCAGAACAGAAGAGGGGCACAGGAAGCAGAGCTGTCTTAGTCTCAAAAACCTTTGGTGTCGAACAGCTGCTGGGTCTCACGGGTGGAGGAACACAATCTCTGAGGTTTCAAAAAGTGACTCCAGAGTGTGTGGCCGTCATTCATGAGTGGCAGGACGGGCCCACAACTGCTGCCCAAAGCTAAGAAGGCTGGGCTGTTACGTACATGGGGCAGAACAGGGCTGACCAGGGTGAAGGGGGTTTGGCCCCCACTCAGACTAGGAGAATGAAGCTACCCATAGCAGAAGAAACAGAGTGCCATAGCAGTGGGCTTAGACGGCTGAGCTGAAGTCCAGGGCAAAGCATATCCACCCAGAACACAGACAGGATGGCCAACGCACAAAGTCTGGAGTGCAGGGACTTGGCTAGCTGCCCTCGGAGAGCTGGAGACTGTTTTCAGGGCTTCACAGCTAATGGAAATGGTTCTGCTGGGTGTTTTCCTTGCTGGATACCTGTTGGCATATCTTTCCCCCTAATTTCTCTTATTTGTCATAGAAATGTCTCTTTTGTGTCTGTTTCACCATTGTCATTGGGAAGTCAAAAACTTGTATTCTAAATTCATAGATGAAGATGAATTTTGGACTTTGGACTTGGAGTTGATTTAAGACTCTGGGGATGATATGAGGAGTTGAAAATATTTTGCATGTGGCAAACACATGAATTTGAGGGAATCAAAGGTAGAATGTCAATGAATGGTGTTTCCCCCAAAACAGCTGTCCACTTTGCAGTGGTTTGATAGTTATGCAATAGTGTAATTTGGCAAGTGTGTAATGATGCAGTCTTCCTCCATAAAGTGATCTGATGAGACTAGTTAGTCAATGGTAGGGGATTAGGGTGGAATGTAATGCACTTACTAAGGTCTCAGTCCTGCTTTCAAGTAAGGAGAGTTCCTCCAGGGGTGTGGCCTGCATGCCCATTTATCTACAAGAGATAAAAGGAGGGCAGGGCAAGCAGAGAAGGATGGACTTCAGAAATACTAGGAAAGATAACCCAGGAATGGAATGTGCCCTGTGTCCTTAATAAGAACTTCCTAGTCCCGAGGGAACACTGATGTCAAGACACATGGAAAACTAGTTTCTATGCGGCCAGAGGTGACATAAGCAGTGTCTATAGACTACTGGGAGTTTAGACTCTTGTGAGGCACACACATCCTTCATCTGCAACACCAGAAGGACTCAGTGTAGAAACCCCACTAAGTGAACAAACTCACCTGCAGCTCCTGGGCTTTAGAGTGAAACTCCCTAACGTGAGAAGAAACTCCCTAACTTGCCTTGGAGGGTGCCCAATGAATGGTGGCCCAGAACTGCCATATACTTACTATTATAATGCCCTCCTTACTTCATTAGGACATGTACTGACCTGGTAGGTGTGGCTTTGTTGTTGTGAATGAATATTATTGTAAATAGTGTCCTGTCACTTAAGAGTTTAATCTGTACAAGTCAACACTTCCTGTACTCTGGTTCATAGCTGGTCTATACTTGTGTAATTCCCTTTTTTCAACAGTGTTTTAAATTCTAAATCATTGGCTAAATCAATGACTACCAACAGAATTAGCTTATCCTCTAGGAGGATGATTGGCAATGTTCTCTAACATAAAAGATGATGTCTCACAAGTGAACCAGAGACATATATAAACTACAGATATCTGAATGGATCTGGGGCTTGCACTTACTTGTAGCCCTAATCTAAGAACAATTAGTTCTCGTGATGTGGCCCTGTTTGATGCTTGATCTCATGAAGAGCTTACTGCAGATGTGGGTGCTATAGCAAAGTGTGGTGAAGCAACTACAGTGCCTGGCTGTCAGAAGGAATAGCATGTGGGATTGTAAAGGTTTGTCTTCAAACAAGCAGCCATCTAAGTGAGGCATCAACTAAATTCACATGGAAGAAGCATACCAGTCTATGTGACTCAAGGATTACAAATAATAAAATCCAAAGCCAAAGGAGGGAATGGTATCAGGGTTTCTTAAATTGTGAAGACCTGGTTTGCAGAAGGCTATGGATGACAGTGGAAGCCCAGCATCCATTTGTAGAGTTAACACATGGATTGAGCCTCTGATGAATCCCTTCTAACCACAGTTAAGGAATGTGAATAGCTTTATCAGACAGAGAGCATTGTAAATCTGATTATGGCAGATATAGTTATATCTTATCATTTAATCTCTCTTTTGACTCCTTTTAAAGTTGCTTCCATGTCAAAAACAAACAAAAACAAAGACACATGGAAATCTCCAAAGAATGCCAGGTATTACAGGTATTGAAAGGAGATAAAAACTTTGCTTCAGAACCTATATAGAGAGAGATTTCCCCTAGAGCTGGTATCTTCCATATGGTCTTCTATAGTCATAATCTGTGAGAAAACGAATTTCTGTGTTTGTTGAACATCTACGTGTGGTGTTTCTGGTGTCTAGCAGCACCAGACATCTAAGAGACAAGACTGACTAAGGGAATTTGTAAAATACACCACGACACATTCTAGTGTGTCTCTTACCTATTTACATATGGAGAGGCTCAAAGAGTTCTTGGGGAAATTCCATTATCTTTCAATTCCATTTTACCGCACTTTTTGAAACCCCTTTGTACATGTGTAAAAACGAAGTATCATTCTAATAATTATGCTTATAATTTTGGTTAGGGGCTTTTTCTTTTGGCCCCAAAGTACTGTAATTAAATGCCATTTCAGAATCTATGAGTATGTTTCAAATGAAATAATATTAGAGATTAATATATTCTGCAATCAGTATAACCTTGTATGACTTGCCATTACTTCACTTTACCTCATAGAATCATGCAGAGCTGTAGCATAAGTTGTTATACTTACTCTCACATTGGAGTGAAGAGATGTCAATTATGCCCGAAGAAAGAGCATGTTGACAAGGGAATGAGGGAAAATCAATACTATCTGGCAGGGCCGCACATTCATTTCCACCTGTCTGTAAGCAAACATGAAAACCAGTAAGATCCGGTGGAGTAACACCTTTCCCCCACCTGCCTGTATGCACTTGATAATGCACGACAATAATGCACTTTTTATTTACGTTGTGGTAAGCTTCCCACTCTGCATTGACAGCACTATCCTTCCTCATGCACTCTAGCACCTCCAGTTCACTATTGTTGGATAGTCTACCCGGACATTTCATAGAGCTAAAAAAAGTTCCAAGATTTCTTACTTATTTTTAATATTTTAATATGGTTATTGATAAATGTATTCCCCTTTATTCATGTTGAATAAATTTTGATCATTTACATGTGGTTAGAAAATGGGTAATTCTATCCCAAAGGATCATAGAAGCCACTTGAAGTTGAATCTCTCCACATTGTCAGGCGTCCACTATAAAAAGAAAGCAGCAAAATTACCCATTGCTTATGCGTACATTACAATTAGAAGACAGAACCCTCCATACTGCAAATGGAAATGGGGAAATAAACTCTGCAGGGCAGCAAAGGGTGTTTTGGGAACTCACATCTGATCAAAGAACCAGATGCAGAGAGAACTACACAGGTAACGCAGCAAACATTAACCAACAACTGTGTAGTCTGAAAGGGGAGAGCCCAGTCTGGAGTAAAAAAATACTTAAAGCAAGAATGAGAACAGAGAAGAGCAGAGCACTTTCTCTGAGGGATCTGGAAAAAAAAAAAGACGTGGAAAACATAGGGGGCCAAGCGCTGTAATCAGATTTTGGAAGAGAGAAAGCTGCAAGTATCTTGGAGTCTTGGTGATTAGAGAAGAGAGAAAAGACCAAAACATCCCAGGATAGACCTCTGATGAATTAAGTAAGTTGGAAAGAATACAAAGAAAACAAATCATACCCCGTAATAAAGGACCATTACAATATGCTATAGGCCCATTCAGTTAAAAGAAAGAAATGTCATCGAAGAACATTTTATGGAAGCAACAGAAGAGGGTGTCCCTGATACAAGAAACAGAATAAGCCACCTAGACACCAGTTGCAGATCTTCAATAAGAGCACTTGCTATTGCTGATTTTTAAAAATTCAATACAGAATCTATGAGCATCATTGACAAAGTTCCTTAATGGGGAAGAACTGAGAAATGGAAACAACAGCAAGAAAAACTAAAAAGGAGGCGAAAAGGCCATTAGGGAGCACCTTATCAACCTTCCAGCAACGAGGGGCCTCAACTGTGTGTGGAAGAATAGAATTTCTCCATGAATTTTTAAAAGTCCTCTCATAGGTTAAATATAATTAAACAAGCATTTGCAGATATTAAAGCATACCATGAATCTTAATACTTAAATCAGGAACACTTTCTTCTGCTGCTTCAGTGAAATGGAGTTATTTCTTTTTATTGAATGGGCCTATAGTATGGGCCTTTCTTAGGGGGAGGGATTTGTGTGTGTGTGTGTATATATATATACACACACACTCAAATATATCTATATTGATGTGCAGTGGAAGTTGTCCAAATCAAAGAAGTTTAAGAAAAAACATAATTGAGGAATTAGCAGATACCATTAGAGATATCAAAGAAAAAATGCATATGACCAAAAAATATAGGAAGAATAACACAGAATAGACGTCAGATGGGCCGAGACAATGAAACCTAAATAAAATAGTACAAATGATCAGTGAGAAAGTGATGCTATACAATGTAAAAAAGATCTACGAGAAGACTGATTGGGATCTCTGAGGAAGAGAAGCAAAACAATGGAACAGAAAGAACAGTTAAAATTATAATTGAAGAAAAAGATTTCTGAAATAAAAGCAGTAGTGATTTTCACATTGAAAGTACCTACTGTGTATTTAGAAAGATGGACCTAAAATTCCAATTAGTTAGATAAAGAGCTAGGAGTTCTGGTGGTGTAGTGGTTATGTGTAGGGCTTCGATCCACATGGTTGGCCGTTTGAAACCAGCAGCAGCTCTGTGGGAGAAAGACTGGGCTTTCTACTCCAGTAAACAGTTACAGTCTCGGAAACCCACAGGTGGTCACTATGAGTCGGCATTAACTTTATGGCAGTGAGAGAGACAGATAAGAAAAAGCTATACACAGTAAAAGCATGTTCAGCACTTCCAGGAAAAGATTTAAGTGACTTTAGAACGAAAAGCATACCAAACTGCCATCAGACTGCTAAATGTTGTTGTTGTCAGGCTCGATCAGGTCAGTTCTATTTCACAGAGACCTATGTACAAAAGAATGAAACTTTCCCATCCTGCGTCGTCTTCACAAACATGGCTGTGTTTGACCCCAGTCCTGCAGCCAAAGTGTCGATCTAGCTCACCGAGAGTTCTGCTTTTTCCACTGACCCTCTACTTTACTCAGAATTGTGTACTCTTCCAGAGACGAGTGCCTCCTAAAACCATGGCCAAAGTATGTGCGATGAAGTCTCACGATTCTCTCTTCCAGGGAACATTTTCAACAACTCAAACTCACTGGCATCCACTCACAGCAACCCTACAGGAGAGAGAACTGCCTGTGGCTGCTGGGACTGTAATTCTAAGGGAGTAGAAAGCCTTGCCTTTATCCCGAGGAGCAGTGGATGGGTTCAAACTGCTGACTTTGTGGTTAGCAGCTCAATGCATAATCCACTATGCCATCAGGGTTCCTAAAGAACAATTGGTCTGTACTTTTCCAACACAATTTTTTTTAACTGTTCTGGCAGTCAATGCTATATGCAGTACTTCTCAACCAACACCATAAATCAAATGGTTAATTCTTCCTTATTAGTTATTCATATGTATATAGCCTTCATACTGCAGCCTTAAGTATGAATTACAGCTCCATGTAAAGAAAAACAAAATCTTCCCAATTGGAAACATCGTGATAAATGGAGAAAAAGTTGAAGTTGCAACTTTTTTTTTTCTTATTTGTATCTACAATCAATGCTCACAGAAACAGCAGTCAAGAGATCAACAATACATGCTGCATTAGGTAAATTTGCTGCACAAGAACTCTTTAGAGAATTGAAGAGCAAGGGTGTTACTTTAAGGACTAAGGTGCACTTACACAAGCCATGGGATTCTCCATTGCATCATATGCATGTGAAATTTGGACAGTAAATAAGGAAGACCATAGAAGAATAGATGCATTTGAATCATGGTGCTATAGAAGAATATTTAAAGTACCATGGACAGCTAAAAGGACAAATCAATGTCTTGGAAGAAGTAAGGCCAGAGTGCTCCTTACAGGCAAAGACGGCAAGACTTCATCTCACATATTTTGGACAGATTGTCAGGGGAGACCAGTCCCTGGGGAAGGACATCATGTTTGGTCAAGTGGAGCAGCCACAAAAAAGAGGAAGGCCCTCAGCGAGATGGATTGACACCGCGGCTGCATTAATGGGCTCAAGAACAGGCACAATTGTGAGTATGACACAGATAATGCAATAGTTCATTCTGTGGTGCATACAGTCAATATGGGTCGGCTCTGGCTAGATGGCACTAACAAAAACAACAACAACACACATATAGCTGAAACCGAATGCCCTCCTGTTGACTATGAGGGAAGCGAAAATACCCAGGCGTGGGTCAGGCACACTTCTGTCCTCAAAGTGATATCTTAGTTTTTTAATAGTTGAAAAGGGTCTTTTGCAGTAGATTTTCCCAATACAAGGTGTAGTTTAATTCTTGACTGCTGTTTTCATGGGCATCGATTGTGGATCCAAGTAAAATAAAATCCTTCGCAATTTCAATCTTTTCTCTGTTTGTCTTGATGTTACTTATGTGATCCAATTGTGATAAATTTTATTTTTTATGTTGAGAATTAAATCCACACTGAAGACTGCATTCTTTGATCTTCATCAGTAAGTCCTTCTTCACTTTCAACAATCAAAACTGTCATCTGCATATTACGGGTTGTTAATGAGTGTGCCTCCAATCTTGATGCCATATTCTTCTTCATATATTGGTTTGTGTTGCTTAATGGCTATGATATGTTCTGTGAAATGGACATTATGTTATTTGAATGTTATACAAACACCAGATTAAAATCTATGAGCATCTACTGTTTCCGTGGCCACTGCGGCTGCTGCTGTAGTCTGCCTGAGTCTGAGAGAGAGTGGGCAGCAGAGATTGAGAAGGTTGGGAGGTAGGAAGGAGGAGAGGATGTGTTAGTTTGGGTAGACAAGAGAAACAAAATTCATAGACACTCATATGTGTATAAGAAAGAGCTTTATATACAACAGCAATTGAATATTGAGAAAACATCCCAGCCCAGTCCAGATCA